ATCAAATAATTATAAACAAATATTTGTTTAAAGACTAAGCATAATCTATTTTATTCAATATCAAACATCTGTAGAAACCACTTATAATCTTGAAATAGCAATTCAAGTCTGAATTTTAAGGACAAAATAAAATTTTATTCATTTCTAATTTTGTTTTACTCGAGCAACTTCTCCTTCTGCTGATTTCAAATACTATTCAAAAGCTTTTTTGTCATCTTTTTGCACGCCAATGCTAGTTTGATAACAAACACCAAAATTATATTGTCACTTTATTATTTCCACCCACTGCCGATTTCAAAAGCTTTTTGTCATTTTTTTTACGCCAATGCCATTTTGATAACAAACACCAAGTCTATTTTGTCCCAAGCTATTTCCCCCTCTGCTGTTTTGAAAAAGAATTATTAATTCGTTAACAAGTGATTCCATGGTATTCTTGCTGAGCACATCTGTTGAGTCGAGTAAATCTAAAAATATTTCTTCTAAAGATGAGCTAGTTATAGTGGGTACCAATCCGATTTCTTTTAGTATGAATATCCGTATGATTTACTGGTTCATCATCCCAACATGCTTGATATAATTCTACATATTTACCTGGAGTTCCTAAACACTATTTTCTTTCTCTGTTGAAGACAAAGGAAATATACAAGTCATTGAAGGATGGCCACTAGATAACAAAAAATAATATACCAAAACTAAAAATATCCGAACTTTCATTCCGACGAAAATTTTCCATATTTCTTAGAAACGCAGGATCATTATAGCATAATAATCCGTATTTAGTTCTTGTATGAGAATCGTCATTAGAGTTTGAATATCCTATGTCTGAAATTTTGCTTTTTCCCTTATGAATAGATATATTAATTCAAAATACATGTACAAAGGATTGAAGTTATACGAACATTTAATTGATATTATTGTTTCACAAATCTGAAAATATTCACCAAGAGGGACTTGTGCATTGCAGCTTTTATCCTGGAAATATCTTGATCATGAATACACTATTTGGTAATCAAGTTCAAATTGCTAATTTCAGTTCAAGAAATTTGCGTAGTGTTTCCTTATCGTTATATTAACTCAGAGGCAATGTTGTACACGGACGTTGTCCGGCGATTTTTGACGTACACGGGACATGTCCGAAAGTCCACATCCGCGTCCGTGTCCTACGGATACGGACAAGTCAATCTCAACATATGCTTCCCTTGGCAAATGATGTGCTGACATTAATACCAATAGATGCGGACATCAACGTCCTGGACATAAAAAAATGCCATGAATGCACCCATGACAGCACTGCTCAGAGGTGCTAAATGTGTAGTTATACACCCGAGCTGCAGATATTTATAGGTTTGTGATGATTATGTACGAGAGTATAACTGGTAACGACCATTCGGAAAACGGAGTCATGATAAATATCTTGTATACTAAATCTATAAAAGAGTACGACTAAGATACAAAACAATATTATTGGACGGTGCAGATTTATTATTGAAAATGTTCCTATTCCAGAAAACAGATCAAGCATTCATACAATTAAACAAACAAAAAATTCACTCAAATTAATTTACACAAGTGGTCAATCCCAACTGATACAAGTGCATTGATTTCTACCCTATAAAAAAAGCAAGCACGTAAGATACACAGAATTTACAAGGAATGGCATGAAATGGCACGGCATGGTACGTACAAGCACGGGAAACGTGACAATTCCGTACATTATGTTTTTAGAACGGTTTTTTTTAGCACGGACTGTGAAATTCGCGCCATTTCCGTCCATGACCGAAACGTGTTTATGTATCCGGAATTTTTCACGTTTCCCGTACTTGTACGCACCATTCTGAGCCATTTCGTACTATTCCTTGTAATTTCCATGATTTTTACGTGCTTGGCTGTTTTTTAGGGTAAATATAAAATTATATTGAATTTTTAGGCTCAATAAGTATCAGTTTATATATTTCAAATATTTTAAATGAAGTAAATGACGATTTAATACTAGTTTTCTTAATATGCTATGCATACATACAACTAGGGACCAGAATCAATTATAAAATCGATTACTCGAATAAAGAATCGATACTCAACCTAAAATTGATTCTCAAAATCCTATTATGACATGTACAGTTGCCACAGAAAGTAACGCCTGATTTGGATGTGCAATATCAACATAAATTTAAATGTGGCGGTTTTCCCCCTTTTTGTTATTGTTGACTGCAAATCTTTTTTATTCTTTCTTCGACTTTTGAACATACACTGGGCGAAATTTGTTGGCTGTAAATATAACACACCGCCTCCAGTTAACTGACTTTGACAAGGGTAAAATGGGTAATTTTTATTGGGATTTTGAGTGCCGTACAAGTTGCAAGAAAAATGATCCGGGATAATGGTCTCTTGCCGAATACAAGATAAATAGGTAAAAAGAAAATTTACCAGGGTCTGGAAGGTCACAAGCTCTTAACAAGCAAGAAAAAAAACGCACATTTACAAGAAGCCAAAAAAGACAACCTGAGCAATTTCGTGACATTGTCAACAAAAAATCTTTGTAAAAATTTACCCGAAGATTCTTTAAGATAAGTTCATCTTTTTTCATAATATATTATGCTCATTAATTTGAAAAAATATGGCGTTTCAGCTTAACTCTAACTCTAACCCTAACCCTAATTCTAAAAAGATCACGAAATAGGAATATTAATGATCATGAACCAATTAACGTATTCCCCCAGACCTGGCTTCGTAGAAAACATCTAGAAACTATTGTAAAATAATATTCTAAAGTGAAAAAGCTTTTCAAAAATTGTGAACATGCTCTGAAGAAAGTGTAGTCAAAACTTAATGTGTTAGTTTGGGGTAGGATGCGAGCTCGATGTCGAAGCCATATAGAGGGTGGGTAATGTATTAGTTAATGGTAAAAAAATTTTTATGTATATAAAGCAGAAGTGAAATAAATCGACAATTTTATTTTTTAGAAAAATTTGTACAAATTCTTTTAATACCATAATTTGTTCTACCAAATGGTTTCGTTCATGTGTTATTAAGTTTCCCGCATCTGAAAATAGACGTTCAGATGGAGCTGATATGGTAGGAATTGTCAAATATTTACGTGCAAGTTGTGAAAGATTTGGATGTATCGATTCTCAGCCCAAAATCGATTCTCGAGCACAAATTACGATTATGATAACGACGACAACGGCGATGACATACTGGTCTTTGGTTTTGTCTTTCATTGCATGTTTTTCCTTTTTATTGGAATAGTTGAAGTTGTACTTTTGATCAGTTGAAATTATAGTTTGATTAGTTGAATTCATAGAGATATTAAGTGGTAAAGATATTATAAAGGCAATTGAAGTATTGTGATTCTGTATCTTCTGTTTCATAAATATCAATATCAGTTACTTTTGGCATTAGTATCACTATCAGAGTTGTTAAACTCTATATTGGCAATAGTTACTTGGTTATTATCAATATTAACATTTTGTTGAATGACAGAATAGTTTGTAACATTTGCATGTTTTCACAAGTGAAAATGACGAATTTCCAATTATTTACAAGATTTATACAATATCCTTATCGTTATTAACCGATTTTGTCTTTAAACTCGATTCTCAAATTTTAATCGATTCTTAAATTTAATCGATTTCTAAATTTTAATCGATTCTCAAATTTAATCGATTTCTAAATTTTAATCGATTCTCAAATATTATCGCGATTTGCAAAAGGTGTAGCCGTGATTTCTATGAGACGGATGCTGTGGACATCACGTGATAAAAAAGACATCTTTAAACCACTAAAACTTTTTACAAGAAAAAATTTTTAAAAAACTAAACTGATAACTTTATAGAGTGTATCTCAAATTACAAAGTTATCAGTTTATTTTTTCGAAATTATCTCCGAGTAAAGTAGAGCAGGGTTTTAGAGATTCTTATTTTTTATCACGTGATTGGCGATTATAGATTTCCGGCACCATATCGATATCGATATAAGAGAATTAAATGTGAGTATCTACGTAATAATTATACACTTTTCGATCAATGTAAAAACTAACATTTCCGATCAATATGAAAACTATTATTTGTCGCCAGGGATTGGTTATGACACACTCATTATAAGGAGCATCTTAAAGCCCAGGATCAATTAAGAAAATTGTAGTATAATTTCATTCAAAAATGAAGGATTAATTAAGAAAATTGTAGTGTAATTTCATTCAAAAATGAAGAAAAAAAGTAGAAAATATGCCAATTGATGAGCTAATTTGTAATAGACATAGCCGTAAATTATACGCCATTTCAAGTCATCAGTATATGCAGGAGGCGTGCTAACAAAAATTATTTCGAAATAAAAGAAAAACGACTTTGATCTTTCGATGGTCTTGAATGGCAATCTGAAATCTGAAAATCGGGGAATTTGTAATTTCCCGTGACGGCGTGATCTGCTATTGTCACACTTTTTGCAAACAGCAATAATCTATTTCTAAGAATCGATTTCCTAATGTTTATATGTTCTAAACAAAATAAACTAACATTCCCCATGTATAGTACCCTCCACCTTGTTTTCTGAAGGCGATTTTTGTATTGTCGCTAGATTTTTTTATTAATTGATCATTTTTATCTCGCAAATTTTTTATGTTATTTAAGTATTATTATTACAATATTGAATTTTATTAATAATGAACTTTCAGTCGTTTTTGTAAGCAAGCTGTCGTTCTTTATACACATTATTGCAGAAGAATTTGTCATTTTAATCTGCTATACAGTCAGCGCGAAAAGTAATGGCAATTAGTTTTAAAGAAAGAGAAGTTTAAAGAAGAGAGAAGTTTTTAAAGAACAACTACACAAAAAAATTATTGACCGATTTTTATTTTATAAATTAATATTTATAACAATTCTTTAAGGCGAACATTTTTTCTTAATAGACACAGACTTGTTAACTTAGCGTTAGCGTTAGTAAAATTTCACCTAATCGCAAGTCAAATTGATATTTGTGTCACAATCATCGAAATTCTGTCCAGATTAAGATTGGGAGGATGGTAAAAATTTTCCTGCCAATACATTTCGTACGGACTATTGTTTTCATTGATTGAAACTTTGCAAAAACAATTACGGGTAACAAGTTTATTCGTCGCAACTATCTAATTGGTTGTCACAACTAATTGCAACTCTCTGATTGGCTGTCACAAATTACAACTAGTTGAGACACCAATTTTACTTCAGGTATCTTTTAGAATACGAGATATTATTATTTGCGGTGTGTTTGTTGATCTTTCGTAGTCTAAACCAAATTATCTTCTGACCTATCTTTGCAACAGAGATTCCATAGTATTTAAACTAATTTTTAATTAACTTGATGTTAAAAGAATCCCATGTAATTTTTCTAATCCTGCAAGCAAGGCATATGACGGTTTTTGATACGTTCCGAAGTAGTAAATTCATGAACTTCCTCCGACATCGAGTTACATTGTACAAGAACCTTTTTCAAAAAAAAATATAGTTTCGATGTTAAACCACCAGATATAACAGCAAAATCGGATTTATTCTGCAAACTGAAATTTAACTGAATCAACTAATATGCAAACTAAATCAAAGTCTAAAAGGGAGGGAGGATTACTGAAAGTTTGCCATTTTGTCCAAATGTTCTTAACCCACTATGACATCTCAATTTCATTTACAAAATATATACACCATTTGGAAAGTTTTCTCAAGACATGTTTTTTAACTTGAAAATACATATAGGAGGTAATTTTGTTCCGTCACCCATGTCAAATAATAGTGAAGCTTTTTTCAGTATGAATATTAATTGTATTAGCTCCGCATTTTCCAATTGTTGCCAGATTAGACAAATTGAGTTTCATTCATATCGATATGGCCTATTAAAGATAATACATGTAATCGTGTTATATAAGAAATTTTTGATGTTACTCTTCCAAGTCTTCAGATACAGGCTGTGTGCAAACACTGGTTAGATAATCCATACCGATATCGATCCAAAATCGATTAAGCTAGTAGTTATTTAAAATTAAAATGTTGTTTGATGTTTAAAGAGTGTCATTTCTTTGCAACCCAATCGAGTACAGTCAACCCCTTCTTGATATAAATACCTCTTTATTATCAAAATTTATTGTAAAAAATTTCCCTTGGACTAATATATTGATACTAACTTCCGAGTTATCAACCCTTTTATATATCAACAAAAGGTTAAATAATAGTATAAAATGCAACTTTATCTTTTTTACCATTATTTTGCCTCAATATTACTCAGGTAAAACAAAGCTTTTTGACCAGTGTGTCGTCGTTAGTTTTCAATGCTTGTTAATATAACAACGTTAAACGAAATTTTGAGTTTACATTAAGAAAAATTCTATGGGCTATTAATTATATACTCTTAATATCAATATGATTTAGAACATGTATTTATATATTAAAATAAGAGTTTTTATTATTACACACAAATAGGAGCACATTCTCTGTCATAAAAGGCTTCTATTATGCGTTCTGTCTCATTTTCATACATACCGATAAACTGAGGAGATTATCGGTTAAATGTCAGAATGATAGTAACGATAATACAAATCTCCAAGATAAAATTAAAGTAACCATAAAAACATTATTGTTACAGTATATAACGTTCGTTATGATGAGAAGCAAGCATTTAGATAGTTAGCTTTATCGTGACTACGAAAAAGGCATTGTAACCAGCCAGTCCAGTCGAAATAATTTTAATATTTTTTCTTTTACAGATTATAATCATTATCAATTAAGTCAATTTTCATCTTTAAATAGTTTCAATTACTAAGTAACTTCTTTTTATTTTTCAAGTATTACTGTTTTTACACACAATTTTATTTTATTCTTTTTTCCCTTCTATCTTTTTGTTATGACATAAGTGATCTTTTTGAGCATATCGATATCTAAGTAAATTAAATTAAATCTTTGTTTTACCCATATCAAATATCAAATAAAGTTTTTAACATATTTTCAGATAGAAATTTTCGATGCCTGTTTCACTATATAATTGGCTAAAAATGCTTCAAACTCATTTATTATGAGATAGTTAGATAAATTGGATTATATTAACAATTACAGGTTCTGTTGTCATAAAGCTTTTATTTCCTCGTTGAGAAAAGAAACAATTATATATATTCTTGTCCATACTTGTCAATACTTATCTGTACTTATTCACACTTATTCATCTTTATTCATGACTATTTATAATTAGCTATAACTATTCATAACTTGTCAGCTATTATTAGTTAATAAGTTAACAATATTTATTTATTTACTGTTAATAAAAATCAAGCCCTTGCACATCAAAAGCATTTTTATTTCATTTCATGTAAATAAAGTATGTTGCTTTAGATTCCTCAAAGATTTCGTTTAAGGTTTTTATAAAGAAGGCCGTGTTCTTTACATTTCTTCACCTGATTGCTTGTCATAGGAGCATCAATTTGTTGTATTCCAACGTCCAAATTTGAATCTTGTATAGCTTCCAAAATAATTTCTAATGCTCTTCCGAAATGTGTGATTGTGGAAATTCTAAGGATTTAAAGTGTATTCCTTTTACTCCACGAAAAAACATCTTGAGAGAATCCGCAGAAAATTGCAAATTTCCTGAAATTGAGTTTCCAATCTTTTGGTTAAATTTTTACCAAGTTCACTAATAAATTGGTCATGATTGTCATTGCTATTATAAATCTTGCAGAGAAAACCAAGATGGTGAATATGCTGGATATTCTGGATAAATCCAACGGTGGCAGACGATTCTTAGAAATTTTAAATTTTCAAAAAAGCTTAATTGACGAATTTCCGAAGGTATCGGTGAAAACAATGATAAAGCGGCATTAATTTCGAGGGTAAAAAGATTAGGGCAAGTTTTTGATGCTGACTTTAGAAGTTCCGCATCATAGATCAAGGAGATTTTTAAAGAATGTAATTGTCCTAACGATGCTTTAGAATTTATTATTTGGAATATATTATAATTGTAGTCGATTGTGATTTCAAAGAAAATATTTGCTGGACTATCAATCAAATTATGGCAAATGGCTTTAAATGCTTCGAAATGACTTTCCGCCGCCGGTGCGTCATTCTTTCGCGATTCTTGTTGATTGTGATAACGTTTAGATTTTTGCCAATCAATAATTGCTGTTGACAAAGATCTCAAAGATAATTGTTTAATAAAAATGTTATAATGAAATAATGGTTGCTTCAAGTTCATTATTGTCATTATTATCAAAGCAATTTAATAGAGTCGAAATAAATACTGTGTTAGTATTTGCTGAGATTAAGGGAAACGGTCGTCTCCATAATAATGGAATTGCTGTATCACACCAATGACGGTTCACTAACGCAAAACGAAAAAGTTGTCTGTTCTTATTGAGTTCGTTGTTAGCGCATCCTTCTCCTTCTGATACGTAAAAGTATTTGATTATTTCGTGGAGACATAACGTCGCAAGTGTAGATGCCATTTTGCTGAAAAGAAAGTACGTACTATTACCAAAATGAGTAAAAATACTCTAATTTGGAAAAATATAAATTAAACAGTAAAATGAACAGCAAAGTGAATAGTAAAATGAACAGTAAAGTGAACAGTAAAGTAAAAAATGATATAAATATATATATATTAGTTATAATTTAGTTAATTCTTATAGGAAATTTACATGTATAAAAGAGGAGTTTTTCCCTCTTAATGGAAGACATGTTCAAATACTTTAATCAAATATTTAATAAAGGTCTTATATCTTATTAATAATTTCTTTAATTATTTGTCTTCAAAGCTTGAGAACAAGCAAGTGGATGCTCCTCCACTCTAAATAAGCCGTTATTAGTATTATTATTTGTTTGGGCATTTGTATAAGTCCCGTTTTCGTATTTTTAGGCAGTCTCAATAAGTCCTGTTGATTATTTTTTAGGCAGTCTCAATAAGTCCTATCGATTATTTGTTATAGGCAGTCTCAATAAGTCCTATTGATTATTTGTTACAAGCAGTCTCAATAAGTCTTGTAGTTTTATTCTATAGGCCATATCAATAAGACCTGTGACCGTTAAGTATTATTTTACCTTCTCCCCTTTTTCCTTACTATTGGTTAGATTGCGTACAATCTACCACAGGAGCCCTTTAGAACATTGAAGAAACCCTTTCTATTGTAAACTATTCAGTCTATCTCCCAACTGACCATCACATACAAATTCATTAATTCCTTTAATTTATTTGTAAACTTGATAATACACTATAGGAGGGTCACTATGTATAACAAAAGAATGAAGTTTCAGAGAAGCATTACTATATTTTGTTTAACTCATCTTATTTATACAATCGAATCTCTAAAAAAGAAGTGGAGTGATAGAATTCTCTATTCAATGAGCTAAGTATTCAATCTATTTCTTCGAGACATAATCCATTATGTCCTCTCTTATTTACAGTATCAATTTCAAAGTGTAATGTAAAGCATAACAGAAAGTTCCGTTGCCAAAATATTATTTTGGAATTTTGCACATTTGTAAGCTTAATTATTGGTAAATTCGTGTTATACCTTTGTTAGCTAAAATCTGATCCGTTTAATCTACGACATATAAACATTCGCAGTACATGTATTTCAAAGTCATCTTCCGTAGCTGTTATTATTATTGTCGTCACCAATATGTATTATGCATATATTGTTAATTAAATAATTTTAATAAAGAGAATCGAAATTGTTATAATGTTATACGTCATTTTGGAATTCCAAAATGACGCATGTCAATTTCGAATTTCGAAATGATAAACATAATTTTGGAATTCTGATATATGTACGTACGTACGTATCGTTAATACATGTATTATGCAATCCAAGATTACATGTACATGTAATTGTTAATTATGTACGTAGTTGCAGCAGCGGGTGACGTTCAACATCACGACAACCACAATTCCGACAACTCATAAGCCCAACAAACGAAATCCAGAATGCACAGCATACCTAAAGCACGAAATCCCGAATGCACAACATCCGAATGAAAGAAATACTAAAAGGACTAGGGATAAGAATCGATTCTCTAGAATTGATTAATTTTGTAGAATCGATTCTTATTTGAGAATCGATTAACGTTAAAATTTGGAAATCGAGTAAAATTTAACGTTAAGAATTCTATTAACGTTAACATTAATAACGATAATTCTTTTAAAACTCGGAATAGGATTTGTACATGTGATTTAAGCTATTATTTTGATTGGTCGGAAGGTTTCGTTACAGGTTTCGTCAATCGTCATAAGTTTCGCCAATCGTCATAGGTTTCGTCCGACGAATGACGAAACCTTTCGTCATTATGAAATAGTTTTTCGTTAGTAACATTTATTTTTACTAAGACATTTGATATTTTCTGTCTTAAGTAGTTCGGAATGTAATTGTATCTACAATTTTTCGTTCAATTTGAATTAATATTAAACGATTTTTAGTCGGATCCGAAATATTCGGGTCGGGTTTGACACCGACCCAACCCGACCCGATTGGAGCACTATACATAAAAAATGACTTGGGCACATGAACAGTTTTGCAAAAGGCTGATTTCAAAGGTCCAAGAGCTTAATAAGGATGGATGTTGTGGTTGTTAATGAGACATAGGAGCAAGACATGTAGCAATTGTGGGTGGATACATCAGAGGTTAGGGGGATGAAAGATATTTAGATGTGGCGAGTGCAAATTGGAGATATCAATGGCACCCGAGGGATCTCCTTTCGGGCTTTGTTGGATAGAATTATTCTATTAGTATACAGGTCGGATGATTGTAGGCGGTTAGTCTATTAATGCCAATGCTGTCTATCATTGTCTGATTGAAGGAAGCCCTTTTCCGTGGCAAAAAAAATTACGACATGTCAATATGATATAGATACGGTTTATAAACCATTTTATTGGTAATAGAATACTCATTTTGTTGAATCTGTGATAGTCTCTCTAACTCCAAACTACAGGCATATTATTTTGGAGTTATGCTTGGAATCGTTGTCTTGCTGATTCGCCCAACGTTTCTCAGATTTCTTCAATAATATTTCAATGTAAAAAAGCATTTGTCATTGCCTTTTGCACAATATCCACCACATACCAAAAGCTTTTGGGATATTGAACTGGTCTTTTACATATCCTAAAGTATTTAGAAATAGTTGAAAAGTGGTTTCCTCTGAAAATAGTGTCATTGAGGGATTGCTGATTTTTTTTGTAATTCACCTTTTTTCAACAATTTAGTTGACATTGTACGAGAGGAAATGAAAAGATACCGCCTACTGACCAACTGCTTTGGAGTAATCCTCTTAGGACGACCGTTACCTTTTCGATGTAATTTTCTGTTTCGAATAGATGTTCACTTGTTCCAAAAATGTAAAAGAATATTTAAAAAAAACGCATTTGCATTGTCGCACACATTCTAGATGTTACATAGTGTAGATTATTAATATTACATCATTATTGGCGCAGCGCCACGAATTAGGAAATAACAAGGAAATACAATCAAACCGATACCAATTATATCTACATGTATATATTAAAAAACTGGTGACGTTCAACATCCCGACAACCACAATCCCGACAAAACATAAACCCGACAACCGAAATCCCGAATGAACAGCAGCATACCGAAAGCACGAAATCCTGAATGAACAGCATACCGACAGCACGAAATCCCGAGTGCACAGCATACCGACAGCACGAAATCCCGAATGAACAGCATGCCGACAGCACGAAATCCCGAATGAACAGCATACCGACAGCACGAAATCCCGAATACATGGCATCACTAATGGACGAAATC